CCCCATGCCAGCTCTTCCTGTGTGCCAGGCACAGTCCTGGCAACTGCGTGAGCTTTGGACACTGCAGGCCTTGATAACACAGGGCCACCTCCTACTAGAGCAGGTTGCTCCAAGCACCATCCAACCTGCCCTTGAACACTTCCAGGGATGGGACCTGCACAGCTTCTCTGGGCAACCTGTTACAGTGTCTTACCACCCTCATAGTAAAGAATTTCCTCCTAACATCTAATGTAAATCTCCACTCTTCCAGTTTTGATTCATACTTCCTGTCCTCTCAGTTATAAGCCTTTGTAAACAGTCCCTCCCCAGTTTTCCTGTAGCCCCTTCAGGTACTGGAAGGCCGCTATAAGGTCTCCCTGGAGCCTTCTCTTCTCCAGTCTGAGCAGCCCCAACTCTCTCAGCCTGTCTTCAAGCAGGGGTGCTCCAGCCCTCTGATCTACGTTGGGGCCCTCCTCTGGACTTGCTCCAAGAGCTCCATGAACAGTAGCCATGGCACTTGCTAGAGAAACCCACAAGTCAAGGGAGCAAGGATTTGTGGGATAGCTGTGCTCAGACGGCTTTGAAGAAAGCTACAGGGCATTCGGTTCAAAGGATGAAACTAAACCTAGCCCAAATTAAAACTCACAAATCACGTACAGTGGAAATGTCTGGAGCCTCAGCAGTTAATTCAGCATGGCTTTGCTTCACTCATCTGTCAAAGCTGCACCAAATTATACATTACTGTTGGCATCAGTGATGTTGACATGCTGCAGTAACTATCTTCAGTCAGGGGAGATTAAGTTCCAGCTGCTCCTTCAGACTTTTACAGTGTCATTTGGAAGTCTTTTGTGTGCAAAGTGAAAAACTCATGACAGCACTCTTTGTAAATTCCTGATTAGTCTCGTCCTTTAAAGAATACGAGTAATGATATTTTTTAAGAGCTACCCCAGTGCCATTGCATTTAAATATTTCTAGGATATTCACTAAAGAATTCCATTTGGGATTTAAATAAGATAAAGAAAACCATCATTTATCAAGAAGTCTAACAGATAGTTTTATCAAGATAATCTTGCTTTACCAGATAAACAGGACAAAAAGTTGGGTTGTCAGTCTCAGCAGGATTTTCTGTCTGTATGCTAGTTTTTATTCTAAAGCAATTCTGAGAAAAAATACATTGGAAAGAAAGGCACTATTTCTAGATAAGAAGGAACCAGTCATTTTTCACAAAAAAAGACAAAGAAAGAAGAAGGAGTAAAGTATGAAGAATGAGAAAAAGTGCTAGGGAAAAAAAAACCCAAAAAACAACAACCTGTCTGATCCCTCAGTTATATACAGGAGATATAAGCAGAGCAAGGCAGATACATAAATCCAAACTGGCAATGGCTAATACAGCTACTTTGGAAGAAAATGCTTTTAAGATAGATAATTATGGAAAAAAACCTTCCTACAGAAGAAATTACATCGTAGTCCATTGTTCATAACCAAAGCCCTTCTTTCTCTTTCTCATCTATATTTTTGTAATGTTGAATACTGTAAGAGGCTTGGGGTTGTGCTGGTCTTTTACTAATCCTGTCACATTACTGTACTCAGAAATTATTATGGTATTGAATTCAACATGGTAACTGCATTGTTATTGAAAAAAATCACAGAGAGAAATCATACTGGTTTTGTGCACATGTTCTGTCAAGCATCAACAACTGCAAATAATATGCATCTCAGATTCTTAAGATTTCTTTTTAGGAAGTGAGGCCTTCTAGAGAATGCACACAATGATATAAACAGAAAATTGTTTTTTAACTACCTAACTACCTTTGCCTTAACTTGAAAATGGTAGTATTTTCCAACACAATCAGAAAAATTATTTTTAAAGGGGCATTCATATTTCTTCTGGATATCTTTATATTTCCTTGACACTACACAGATTAGATAATATTTCTAACTGAATTTGTGTCTCCCTTATCTTCTCTTGTCATCTCACTACTGGAATTAGAGAATTTCCCACGGCATACTCAAAACTTCCACCTGCATCTTCATTTCTCTGGTTTCAGTCCAACACTATAATCCTTATTTAAAGGCCTGTAACAGGTGGAAGTAAACAAAAAAGCCCAATCGGTACATTCTGAGAGACTGTTACATCTAAAATTCCTTGTCTCTGCATTTGGAAGATTTTATCTGTAACAACATATACTTAACACACTTAAAATGTGTGAATTAAAGACTTTCCAAGTGTGAAGACAGTATAATGGTACATTTTATCAACACAAACTGATCTTGCCATTATTTACATCAATAAAGAATTGCTGGAATTCTCCTGCAATCCTTCTATTTCAGTTCTGCCAAAAAAAACCCCAAAACTTCCCACAGGCTGTGCACTAAACATTCACAAGCTTCCAAAATTCCCCTCAATGATTTATTGTTTAGTGGTGATTAACTGGCAGCACCACTGTAGCTTAGATCTAAACAGCAGTGCAAACAAGTAAAAGGGATAAGGATTATTTGAAAACAACAGGCTTCCTGAGTACACAGGTCAAGCTATCCCACCTTCTCTAAGGAGGTACATTATCTCCAACCAATCACCTACATATTTTTTTTCCTACTTACCATGAGTTTGACCCTGGAACAAATGATCCAACCTGCTACAAAATCCTGCATCTTCCCAATCTGTGACCCACAGTTATCCTACAAAACTTCCACTGAATCCATTTACACACTCCTCTTTTATTACCAAATCCAGAAAGAATTCCACCACTTCAAGGGCTGATGTCTTATGCAGACATTTCAAACAGGCAGCTTCTCCAACAAGACTTCCTCATTACACCATCAGTGTATTGGCCAGACAGACTACTAAACATATGTTGGACACAGACCACTCAAACAACTGTCTGCACACAGATACACACTCTCAGGCTATTTTAAATTGAGAAAGGTTCTCAGGAAGGAAAGCAAAAGGCTTCTTTTGCCTACCAGGAGGTTCGTTATCTTTGGTCATATGCCTGATCTGCGCTCGTATTGATCTGTGATGAAACATGCAGAGCACTGAAAGTCTATTTCAAAACAACAGGATATGGTACTTTTAGCTTACACCGAGCAGATGGAGAACAAAGTGACAAGCAGTGGCTGAGGGCTGTGAGCCAAACATCATCACCCACACTCCATAGTGTTTGGCAGGCTTTTTCTCAAAGTCTCTTCTAGACCCTACAAGATCTGTGACACAAAATGCACCAGCCCATTTCCTTCCCATTTTCAGTATATCTCTCTCAGAATACGTTTGTTATCAGGAGTCCAACTGTTACCAGGTAAACCAGGTTATATTTATTCCACAGAATGAACTAGACAGCTTCAACAAACAAGATAATAGTATTGAATCCTGCCTTTTACTTGTATTCCCTTTTGATTAAGGAGAGGAGGAAATTGTGGGAAATTAAAAAACAGTATTCAGATTGGACTCAGCTAGCAGCAAGATCGCAATGAACTTCTGAAATGAGTTCAGGTACACATCCCCAGAAAACTTACACCACTTCTTTCATTCAGTTTGGTAATCCTGCTGCAAGTGAAAATGTGGAGAAAAGGATGTGTGTGTCAACTAGCAGAAGTTTCTCATTCTGCACAAGTATGCCATATGCCAAAACATTTAATACACTTGTAAAAAATATAGAGAAATAAACTTAGGAGACTTACTACCAACATAAACCTTAAACAGCAAAACAAAGGCTACTTTTCAAGTGCCCTTCAGAGGAAATTACAGAGCCTACTTAAGATAATTTTCATGTAAATGTTGCATTACTTCATTAAAATAAAACAAATATGTATTTTATATGTATATATGTATACATTGATTTAATATATACAGATATATGGTTATATTATGTATATATTTATATGACACATGACATAAAATCGTACACATGGATTCAGTCCTGTGTAATGTGCTCTAGGCAATCCTGCTTTAGCGGGGGAGTTGGACTAGATGATCTCTAGAGGTCCCTTCCAACTCTGACAATTCTGTGACTTAAAAATATGATTTTATATATAAAACGCATTTATGTGTATAAAAGAATAAAACAAAATAGATAAGGAGCTAGGCCTTTTTAAAGTCTCCTGATTTCTTGAAAGACTGAAGTCAGTTGTTCTAGCTCCAGCATCCTCTATGCTAACTTCTGAGTTGGAAACAGAAAACTGGTGGGGAGCAATTTTTTTCTGTATTTTCATTAAAAGGCAGAGTGCAGTACAGGTTTATAATTTTTTACAGCTGTATGACTTCTCTTTTCTTACAGCTTTGGAATTAAGCTTCACAAACTGCATTACTCCATTGTGAACCTTCTTTCACACTGTAAAACGTAGGTTCATGTTCCTCCAGACATGAGGTGCATGTCTGAAGTAGAGTGAGCATGTTCCATCCATTGTAATGCACTCTGCACATTGACATACATTAAGGAAGAATATGAGTCTGACTCCACATTTTTTTGTGCTCAGTGTTAAGTGCAACTGCTACATGTAACTGGAAGAAAAAAGCCAGCTAAACAGAGGAGCAGCATCCCCACTACAGCCTACAGTAGGGCAGGTGATATAGCTCTCTTTAGAGCTTCTTCCTGTCAAATTTCATTTGCTTTTATCCTGAATTATGTGCAGCAACAGCCAAGGTGCACATCTTCATTGCTACTGGTACTATATTTTTGTTCACTGTAATAGCTGTCAAGTGACTTGACTAATATTTTGCTTTACCTTTTAAATATGAAATAAGAACTGTTGGGGAGGGGGGAGGGGAAATAAATCCAATAGGGAAAACTTCAAAATTTAACCAACCAGACAAAGAAAAATATTAAGCTGCAGATGAAAAAGAAGAATCAGAGAAAGATCAAAACCTCTTAGATCCCGTATAATTGGATACAAGGTATTGAAGCAATACTAAGCACAGCAAAAGGAATAAACTAGCAAGATAGACCATTTATACCTCTCTAGCATCTACCTACCGTGCAATATTTACTGCTCATTTTTAGTAACAAAATTATTCTCAAACATACCTGCTCAAGAAGTTCTTTATATGTTATTTTCTCTTTGGTATTTGTTACAGGACTGTCATAAATAATGGCAATTTGGTCTCCTCGTCCATTCTCAACATGACGATCTACCGCATTGTAACAGATATTCAGCTCTCCACCTACAAACCTGAAAAAAAGGTGGAAGTATGTAACAGGCAGCCTTCCAAACTAAAAAGACTATTATTTTTGCATTTTTTGTTTTTCAAGAAATGAGAGCATTTGATTAAAATATAGCTCATAAAACATTATACACAGTTCAGGATGTTATTTTTTAATTTACATCTTCACAATTTACTCAAAAACTTAAATAAGCCGATTAGTGAAAATACTGGAAGTACTGTACTTTAATTGACTTTACTAAGAGACTGCTAAACTTAGCCTTGATTTAACTTACTTTGCATCACTCATTCTGATTTTTATTGTGAAGTTCCACAGAAAAAGCATTCATTCACATAAAATAATTATCACATCATTAAAATGTGTTACAACACTACTTTGTATTGTCATACACACATCTCTTCTAGGAACAGGTTCAGGACTCAACATATTCTTATTCATCTCTTGGAAATAACAGTTGAGAATACAAGCATCTGTTCTAAATTAAACTGACCCCAACAGCTATAAAATCTTATCAATTTGTCTGACATTCATAATGCCTTTGACGTTACCATGTTTTGCATCAGTGACTCAAAATCCCCTGTAAAGTGATATGAGTCATAGCCTCTTCAACAGCCATTTACAGAAAATTCTCATCTTCTAATTAAAGAAAAACACTTTACAAAGTCTGGTTTCATTTTTATTGTAATTTTACACACAAAAAAATAAATTCAAGTGTTACATAATCCTCAAGTAAGAAAATACAGATGGCATCACATACAAAGACGATTCTACTAACTGAAAGATGACATAGACTCTAAAAATTAAAGTTCATTCTAAATAATGGTCTTTTTGTTTGTTTTTCTATCTGCACATATCTCTCTATAACAAAAAGAGCAACACAGAGATAAAACACATTTGAGAGTTTCCAAAAAGTTCTATGGGGACATTCAATGTGATAATGTGATATTGTTATAATGTAACTGGAAATAACATATGGCCTAAAGTAACCTACTACTAGTTCTTCCCCTTGCCTGTCTAGGAAAGACTGCTCTAAACTAGGATATTTCATATTCCTCATATATCCACATGCACAGATGCCACAGGATAGTGTTTATCGTCAAAGAATGGCAATCATTACATTAAATCAGTTAGGATGTTTAGGATGCAGCAATCTTTTATTGTGACTCCTTTACAATGCCATTAATAGGGAGAAAGTGGGGGACCACGAAACTAACAAAAACATTCTGTACTAGAAACTCCTCCTGTAACGGAAAAACTGTATGAACAGTCAAGAACTGGGAGTTGTTTCATCTGATACAGAGAAACTCCATATTACTGTCATAAAAGTTGTATAGGATTCAGGTCATCCACTGATTTTTATAACAAATCACTGTGGGATGATATGAACAAGGGAACAAGGGGGCACAGTACCTGGGTAGTATGAGTAACCACTGAAGAATGGTTGGCGCATGAACAAGTACCGGAGCTTGGATTCTTCTAAATATACATGGCAACATCAATGCTGCTACATACATTTTTAAGAATTGCTTGTGAATAAGTATGTGAAAAAGATGTGACTACCAGTTGAAGCAAAAACCAAGACTATCTGGACAGTGTGATGAGAACTTTGCTACCCCATTGAGGAGGAGGGAGGCTCTTACAGCATCAGAGAAGCAGAGATGCACCTACCATGACCACAATTGCAAGACATTCACTTCTCTACTGTCACCCAAGGACGCACTCAAATACCTCACTCCAGCTGACAAATGAAAGCTGCCTGGCTTTCAAAAGCCACCCTGTGCTGCTTCAAATGACTGTTGATTCAGTGATTCCCAAGAAAATTACTATCTATGAGGAACTTTGATTTTCCTGAACATAAACTTCACTTGGAAACAAACACTAGGATGAACCAGGAGCCATTCCTGGAATAAGGACCTCAATGAGATACTCCTATTTAAAACAGAGTTCTAGAATCAGAAAGAAGATATTCCAACAAACTGCAGAAAGATCAGAGGTGAATCTGCAGGGTATTTCTAAGAGATGCTGGTAAATCTTGCCATAATAAGCACGACTGTAAAACGCTAATCTGTTGCTAACCAAACAGCTATCTCAATGCAGCTTAGCAGAAGAATCCAAGTCTGAAGAATCTTTTTTTTGGCTGTGTTCCTAATGCTGAGAAATTAATAACATTTAACAAACAGAGCAGAGGAAAAGTAAAACAAATTAAGAGTCAACAGTAACAATTCTAATGCACAAATAAACTGGATTCAGTTCACTAGCAGTTTCTTTGAAAAACTCATCTACTGTTCACTAGTGCTGTGATGGGGAAAAAAATTACAGGGCTCTTCCTGTCAAAAATCACAGAATTCTGTGACTTCTAATTTAAATGTAATTAATTAAATTAGCCAACAGAATTAAAACTGGTTAGAATACCAAAATGGCTTCCTTCACTTCAATATTTTAAATAAATATTCTGAAAATATCTACTTATCTTTTTGATAAGTCTTTTTTCCCATACATCCATAAAAGCAGCAGCCTTTGATAATCCATACTATAGAGAACTTAGATTTAATGAGGCGTCTTTTTAATAACTTGAGTGTGGTTACCCACATTAGGACCCCCTTGCACCTCTTTCAAGCTGCCTACAGCAGTCACCTGGGCCCCAAGGTCTTATAGAGTTGCTGTTGTTTCACTCACAGGGATCTCAAGCACATGCACTTACCTCTTTAACTGTACTTTAAAATTACTATTACTTTAACCTTTCACATATGTCCTGGTTTGAGCGAGGATAAAGCCACTTCTCCTTTTACTGATTTTTTTTCCTTCAGTAAGCTTTCTTTTAACTAGTAGCAAACTGTCCCAGCTTGTGCTGATAACAGCTGGAATGTTTTTCTAACTGCTGGGTCTTCAAGTTCACATCTTTACTCTGCCAGCTCAGACACTACAGGGAGATCTATGACACCCCACAGGAGGCTGAGTTAGATAGACAGCAAAACTGGCCAGAGATATTCCATTCCATATATCTACATAAGCTCAGAGGAAGGTCAGAGATCACAGAAGACAACTTCCTTCCTGCTTCTTCTTCCCTTCTCTTCCATCCATGGCAAGTGTCCGGGGAGGACTCCGTCCATCCATCACCGTCGACCCCCAAGCTCAAGCTCTCCTGACCCTCATCACTCTCTGCTTTCTCCAGAAGCTTCAGGATTTCTTGGGACTGTTCACAGCTCAGGAGATGCTGTGGGAGTTGCTGGGGGTGGGGGGAAGCAAGAGGCTTTTGCACATACCTGAACATATTTGCATATAATTGTATATATTTTATTTTATCATTAGCGTTTAATTAAAACTGTGTAGTTTAGTTTTCAATCCAATAAAGTCTCTTTTTCTCTCTCTCCTTCCCTACGTAGGTGGGAGGGGAAGGGGATCGAGGGCATTGTTGTCTATTTTGAGTCAAATGGTGACATTCTCCAAGTCAGGTTCCCAAGAATCAACTGGATTTTTTATTTATTATTTTTTTCTAGAGGAAGTGAGAACAGAAGCTGAACAAAGTGTTAGACAAAACCATTACAATATTAGATATTTTGGTATAATTTTATGTTAATTGATCCAGCTACAATTTTAAATTGTGTAAGCAACATTTGAACAGCAATCTGTGCAACATTCCTCAAGGTCGAAAGTGATTTTAAATTGTGCTTATGTCTTCGAATCAGAGAAAAAACATAACTTGCAAAATTGCCCTTTGTCTGCATCTATTAGGAAAAACCGTTTATATCATTCCTGAAGAACTAACTGCTTAACCTTTCTAACTGGGATTACGCAAGATCCCCAGAATAATTTGTTCAAGTGTTTCACTACCTTTAGCATTAAACAAATCTCTTCTAAAATCTTCATCTCCCTTGTTGCAATTTAAGACTTTTACTTTTGACCTCTTCAAAACCCAAGTCAGAGAACAGTTTTTCTTTCAACTTTGTAGGCAAATTCTCTGCAGTTCAATTTTTTGTGCTTTGAAATCTACATTTTTTTGAGTTCTACACCAAACAATTTTAAATCTTCATCCTTTTCCTGATGAATCATACTTTTTTGCTCTTTTTATTTTTGATGTTGGCAAAACCAGCTTATGTTTTGTTCTGCACTGATGCAAGTTAGAACAGTCAGTGGTATCCAGAATTACTGCTCCAACAAAACAGCCAGGGGATGGTGACACTGATCATGTACCTTTAGGAAATTATTTTGCAACCCACTGACATAACACTGGTGTTTCCAATGGAAAAAAAACTAAAGAAAACACACTAGGACATGCTGCACATTTCTTTCATGCTGTTACAGCATTTAGAGAGCAAACTGGCATTTGACTTATAACCAAATATATATATTATTAATATATTAACTGTCTCCTTCAACACCTTAAACTGAAGTAAACGAGACCAGAAAATACATTAAAAGTACCTATTTATTAGTAGACCCCCCCTCTGAAACAGGAGATAAATTCTAACTCAAGAAGCACATACATTAACTTCTCAATACTACTTCATAAACTGCTTCATAGACAAACCTCTGTTTCTTCTTGGAAGCCTGACCTCTTTCTCAGTTCTGTTCTATCCTCTGTTTCTTCTTCAGCATGTCCTCTGATTGAGCCTCTTGTATTCTCTCCTTCTCTCTCTTATATTCAGTCTTTTCCTCAGAGAACACATCTACCATCCTGTTACACTGAATGCTGGTAACTTATGGGACTTCAGAGGCATTAGAGTACTACACTACTATCACAAACAGCCTGTTAGCAAGTGAACTTATATTAAAAAAGCAACAAAATTGCATGTTGCATATTAAGACATTAAAGAGGATTACACAAATTTAAATTTATTAATGTTTTTGTTATTTACAACAGAGTAAGAGATACCTAACATTCAAACAATAATTACAGCCTGATGTTGAGTCTCCAGAGACTCACATTTTTGCATCATCCCATGGGCTGGTTGATGTTGGACACAGTCTCTGGAGGGCACCTGGTCCAATCTCCCTGCTTAACGAAGT